TGCTCAAATATAAAACACTAGAAATCTATTTATTTTTGCTGCGGTGACAGCAAAGGCCATCAATGGTAAAAATGAACTGCTAAGTTCTTTACAGTCCCCTGAGTGTGGATTTAATATACAACACATGCATTTCTTGAAACTATTTCTTTACTAGAAAGAATTATTCTCCTAAAGACCTACCTGTCAAAAAGAAAGGTGACATTATTGATTTTCAGAGTTCTGATTCCTGTCATGTCAATAAACAATACTGGGAAGAAAATCAAACCACAAAGAAACTTAAAATTAATGGTGAAGGTTGAACTTACAAATGCAGTAGTCTGAAGTTTCTGTGATCCAGTTGGTTTTTGCTTTGGTGGTTTGGTTTGGTTTGGTTTTGAGACTTTAAAGTCTGGGGCATTCAGTTCTAAGTAAAACTCTTACCTGAACAGACAAGTATCACCAGACAGGTTTTTTTAAAAGAAGAAAATAAAAGAAACTTAAAAGTGACAATCTGGTCCTTGCTTCTCTCAATTTTAAAGCAAATAGTGTTACTCACTTTTTCACTGATGCATCCAATAGGTGCCTTGTAGGGTCAGACTTCACTCTGTATTTGCAAAAAAGTAGGAACTCAGCAATGAGTGGGAGGCATTTGAATGAAAAGCAGGACCAGTTAATAGTTTAAACCAGGATGAAGGCTAAGGATTTTAGGACTGGTAGCATAGTGCCTAAGGCACTTGACTGCTAACCAGAAGGCTGGCGGTTCAAACCCACCAGCCACTCCTTGGAAGGAAGATGGGGCAATCTACTTCCATAGTGATACTGCCTCAGAAACCCAAGGAGGGGTCACTATGAGTTGGGTCCGACTCGACAGTACATAACAACAACAACAAATGCAAGAAAGAAGTATATGAATCAGTTCCTCTTTGAATGACTGGGACTGCAGGGAGGGACTCTGTGACTGTGTGATGTGGCAGAAGGAATCTGTCTGAGCGCTGCCCCAGCACGTTCTTTCTGAGCTGCCTCTCTGCGCTTTGTGATACTATGCCCTGCCAACCCTCAAAGTTGCCACAACAATCAAATGAGCTATCAAATGATGAGATCTTTTGCTGCTACATGTAAGCCTGGGTATGATATGGGCCTATATTTGCTCTCTAGAGTCACTAAAATCTCTTAAACCCTCACAAGAACTCTTCGAAGTTACTGTTCCCATTATATAGATAAAGAAACTGAGGCTTAGTGAAGATTTTGGCCCAAGATCACATGCTAGTAAGTGACGGAGCTGGGTTGAGAATGTGACTCTAATTCCAAAACTTTCTGGCATAATTAATTGAGTGTGTGATTTTCCTCTTTTCCTAAAACCCTACCTGTGTTTTGCAGTGGCTTGTGTTCTAGCTGACAACCTCAGGCCCTGTTTGTATAATTTTCAGTCAGTTGGTCAGTTAGAGAAGCAAGCTTTAATTATCACTGGAGGACAGAAGGCTGCATCTTCCAGGAATTTGGCAGCCCCCAGCAGGAGGCAACCACAGGTCTCTGGCAAAAGATCACTTTTCAACAGCACTGTCAGTTCCATTGACCCCCGACCTTCCACCTGCAGGTCCCTGGAACAGCTGCTGTTCTGTGGGAAGCAGTGGCAGTCTGTCTTCCTTTAAAAGGCAAATGCATGCTCCCCTTCCATGCCCCCCGCTGAGACCCCACCTGGGATTTCATCCCCAGAGCAGGAGGTCATCTTGCATATTGAGAAATAAAGGAAAAAAAAGGAGGGGGGGGAGGCAAGCAGCTTTGACAATAGACCCTGAACTCCCTCTTTTAATATAAGCCAGATTTAACATATGTCATTCTGTAAATCCGTGAGTCCAATTTGAGGCTTGTAATTTTCTGCAACCTTCCCTATGCCTTGGAGTGAGGTGGAGAGACGCCAAGCACATCAAGGTAACTGGGGGGAGATGTAATTTGCCCTTTGTAAGCTTGCATCTTGGTTCCCTATTGTAATTTTTGTTTGTGTTGAGGCTTTGTGGTTTGCAAAAAGTCAACTAGATTTATTTTAAAATTAAGCCAGCCCAACATCAAAGGCAACAAGGGGAAGATGTTTAGGTATTACAAAGAAACTCTGTATAGCTAATCTTTTATAGTTGGGTTCTTTTCCAGGGCCCATATCAGTAAATGGTTAAGGGACCTTGCATAAGCAATTTGCTATAGATCTCTGGCCTCGAACTACCCCACTGAGTATAAAACCCTTTCTGATGGGACTTAGAAGCCCTCTGTCTGCTCCTCCTCAACCTCTTAATCTAATCCTGTTTGTAACATGACATGCTGCATGGAGAATAAGAAACATGGGCTTAAGTCCTATCCTACTTCACAAGCTTTGAGATCCAGAGGGTCTTATACTGCCCAGGTTCATTTTTCAATGTAAGGAACTCTTACAGACCAAAAAAGCAGGACCACTTGGTCATGAATCACTCACTTTGGGAAGCAAAAGAAAGTTTATATTGAAAATTTCTCTGTTAAAAAAAAAGCAAAAAACCTGCAGATGATACCTAAAGAGTTTGTTTTTTAATACTACAGTTTTTTTTTTTTTTTTTTAGTTCAGGTACTTATGTGGAATGCATTCATTTATGCGCTCATATGAGAAACTCATATGCTTCTGTTCTAGACACTTTATAATTAATATATGTGTGTGTATTTATATGTTGCTCACAACAGCCATTTAAAAGAGGTTCTATTATCACCATTTAAAGATGAGGAAATTAAACCAGAGTCCAATTCTACACCTACTATCTGCCTCATTAAAAGGGAGTTGACTTATACTTTGTACTTCTGGGCATAAGTTATATGCTTATAGAAACTTTGTCTTCTGTGATAAATGGCATATTGCTATTTGTGCTATTCTATATACTGCTGCTAGTTAACCAGCTTCTGTACTGATCAAGACAACTCGGTGCTTCCAAAAAGGTCAATGATACCCAAACAACACTTTCTGATGGTTCCAGTGATATCCAATTAGTATTTTCTACCATCAGAAAAGAAATTCTGCAAATCCACTGGCAGAAGAAGAAGTATAATCATTGGTGGGGTTTATATGGGGCATCAAAATGTCCTACCACACCACCATGTATCTCAGAAATTCCATGTTTACCTGTGCAAACATCACAGCCCAGCTGAATCAGTGGAATATTCATACTATCAAGGCTAAGTCAAGGCTCCTGAATGGTGAATGACTGTTTCTCTAGTTTTATAATTTAAGTGATGGCACCAGGTCACATTTAGTTACCATTATCCATAGTCTTTCACCAGTAAGTTTCTCCCCAGAACAGAACTTGGGAATCACATTTCTCATTTAACATAATTGATTGTTCTCTGAGACTCTCTGTTGCAAAGTTGTTGTTTGTATTAAAAGCCTTCTCAGACATAGGATGCACCCCTCACTTTATTTTATTTTTTCACATTTTGTTAAAGCAGATGGGCTTTGGAGTCAAGTCCTGGTTCTACCAACTGTGAATCATGGGGAAGTTATTTAACTTTGCTAAGTCTCAGTTTGGTCCCTGGCTGGCACAAATGATTTATTCTCAACTACTAACCTAAAGGCTAGTGGTTCAAATCCACCCAGCAGTACTGTGGAAGAAAGAGCAGGTGATCTGCTTACTGAAAAGATTACAGCCAAGAAAACCCTATAGAGCAGTTCTGTAACACCTGGGGTTGCCATGAGTCAGAAAGAACTCAATGGCAAATGATTGGTTTAGTTTGGTTTTAAGCTTCAGTTTTCTCTTCTGTAAAATGGGGACAATAAACCGACTTCTCAGAATAGCTAATTAAACAAATTTTTTAATACTTAATATCTAAGGACTCATAGTGACAAAGTAGAACTACTCCATAGGGTTTCTAAGGCTACAAATGTTTATGGAAGCACATTGCCTCATCATTGTCCCACAGGGTGGCTGGTGAGTTCGAACTGATGACATTTTGGTCAGCAGTCAAATGCCTTAACCATTGTACATCAGAGTTCGGAATCAACTCGGTAGCACTGCCTTTGGTTCTTGTTTTTGTTTTAGCATCTAAGAAGATTCAAGTAGATGATTGTCTGGGGAAGGACAGATATAAACAAGTAATTTTCAGTGTGAGAATTGTTCTAGCCTAGATATGTATGTTGGGAGCATGAAGTGGCAGCATCTAGTAATCTGAGGTCAGGAATTGGCTGAGAGTTCAAAGAGGAGGTATTTTGTGAGAGTCCTCAATGGAATCTGTGGGATGCCACACTTTAATTTCTGGGATAGATTAAATATAGACCCAAATTGACCTATCATAAAACAATTGGATCCATGTCTATATTATTAACAGATATTGTGCTCTGTGACAATAATGAGCTGTCTATAAAATGAATAGATTTATTGGTAAACATGTATATTACAGAAGTAGTTTGTAATTGCAACAAATCCAATTAGGTCAATGGAATCTGTATACTAGAATAGGAATAGAGTGGAAAAAATCAGAGATATTAGATATATAACTAAAGAATTTTAAAAAACCATAATAAATTCAAGAGAAAAATGTTGAAATTATGATTCATCATCATTCCCCATATTTGTGACTGTATTTAATAGCATAATTAGCAGTAAAATTTTATGAGTTAACATTACTATGAGAACATGCCTGTCTCTATTACTGAGCTTTATCTGTAGATTTGTAACATAATCGTAATCATCTGATGTATTTATTACACATTTTATTCAATGAACCCAAATGAATTTGCACTAATTACATTTTTAAGAAAGATTGCTCATCAGCATCCAGTCTTGGTTTAAAAGTTTGAATTTTTCATATACCTTCAGAAAATGTATGCTATTTGGTGTGATGAAGACTTCAGATCTTCTTGTAAATAAAAAGAAGAGGTATTTGAGAAAGAAAAATAGTTAGTAGTTTCTTAATTATCTTTTGTAAGTGATTATTTCACAACCTTTAACTTGAGATATTTCCCTAAATGACTAAGTAAAAAATATGTAGTAAGATTCCTTTCTGGATATTTTCAGAACTCCTAGTTATAACTATGCACCAAATATGGATAAACACTGGATTATGCAGTATACGGGGCCTATGCTGCCCATCCACATGGAATTTACAAACATTCTACAGCGCAAGAGGCTCCAGACGCTGATGTCAGTGGATGATTCTCTGGAAAGGGTAAGCACATGCACTCACCTCCGTGATGAGTGTTAGTCCAGCTTTCTTTATATAGATCTATTCTTGCCAGGGGAGCTCTAGTGGCATAATGCCTAAGGCATTTGACTGCTAACCAGAAGGTTGGCGGTTCAAACCCACCAGACACTCCTCAGAAGGAAGATTGAGCAATCTACTTCGGTAGAGATACTGCCTCGAAAACCCAAGGAGGGGTTGCTATGAGTTGACATCGACTCGACAGCAGTGAGTTGTTTTTTTTTTTTAATTCTTGCCAGACCTGTTTACTTCTTTTTAATTTTCCAACATCATCTTAAGGGAGAGAGAAAGAGAAGAGAGAGAGAGAGTGTGTGTGTGTGTGTGTGTGTGTGTGGTGTTCATTAACTTAACTGGTGGTGGTGGTGGTTTGCCGTCGAGTCGGCCCCGACTCATAGCAACCCCTCCTTGGGTTTCCAAGGCAGTATCACTACGGAAGTAGGATTGCCCAACCTTCCTTCCGAGGAGTGGCTGGTGGGTTTGAACCGCCAGCCTTCTGGTGAGCAGTCAAGTGCCTTAGCACTGTACTACCAGAGCTCCTATTAACTTAACTATCCACCCTAAATCTTCCAAATCTTTTCCCTATTTTTTCTGTCTACCTCTCCAGGCTTGGTTTTTATGGAGCAAATGGAAAACAGCAAAAAACAACAACATTGTAAATCATGGGCCACACCCTTAAATACCTTCTGGAATTGAGGAAGTCATGTAAATGAATAAAGCAGGGCCAAACCAAAAAAAAAACCACAGCCATCAAGTTGATTCTGACTCTTAGCAACTTATGTAGAACCTAGTTCTACAGAACAGAACTGCCCCACAGAGTTTCCAAGGCTGTAAATTTCCAAGAGAGCAGAGAAATCTTTCTCCCATGGAGTGGCTAGTGGGTTTGAACCACTGACCTTTTGCTTATCAACTGAATGCTTTATCTACTGTATCACCAGTGCTATAGTATAAGGCAGTAAGGGATGGTGGTGATTATGATGAACTTGAAATTAAGTGCCTTTCCCAGTGTGGTGCAAAAGTTAGTGCACTCGGCTACTATCTAAAAGGTTGGTGGTTTAAGCTAGAGATGCCTTGGAAGAAAGACCTGGCAACTTACTACAGTTCTATTCTGACATACATAGAGTTGGAATTGACTTGATGGCAACTGTTGAAGTTTTTTTTTATTTGAAATTAAATAGACGGGCAGAAACTACCCAGCTCATGTTAGTTTTGTCCATGTAGAAATGTGGATGCAGTATTGCCAGGTTTTCTGATTTTTTTTTTTTTTTTTTTAATTGTGATTTGGGTGAAGATTTACAGAGCAAATTCACTTTCCATACAGCAGTTCACATACACTTTGTCTCATGACATTGACCACAGTTTACCACAATACAACAACTCCCCTCCCACTTCCTCCCTAGAGTTACCTCTTCCCAGTGTCCATCCCTCCATGGGCTCCTGCCCCCTGAGCTGTTTCCTTGTGCATAAGCAGCCCTTCTTTTTCCCAAGATTGTTCTCTCTAAGGAATGTATCTACCTGAGGTAAATGTTCAATTCATATGCCTGTCTTTTGTTTGGCTGGAAACCTTGGGTGTGGGTTCAATTCCAGACCTGAAGGGCAGCTAGGGGCCATAGTCTCAGTGGTTCCACCAGGCTCTATCGGACCAGCAAACCTGGCCCCCCCTTTTTTTTCTCCAAATGATTTTGAGTTTTGTCCCACATTGTTCTCCCTCTCTATCAAAGATCTCCTACATAGATCCCCTTCCAAGTGGATGACAGTGGTAGCGGGGCACCATCTAGTTCTTCTGGTCTCATAGTCATATAGGCTGCTTTTCTGATTTTTTTAAGAAAAGCCAGAAATACAGAATTTTGATGTGAAATTTTCTAAATTTTAATATATAGCATAAACCAAAGAAAACATGCCTGAAAGCTGGATCTAACTCAATCAGACTCAGAGGCAGTCTGTTTTCAGCCCCTGGTAATGAAATGCAAGTTGTTGTTATTGTTGTTGTTGTTAGGTACCATCAAGTTGGCTCCGACTCATTACGACCCTATGTACAATAGAATGAAGCACTGCCCAGTCTGTGCCAGCCTGACAATCCTTGCTATGCCTGCGCCCACAAAATACAAGAGTGATATTAAAATTTACTTTAATCTTGAATTTCAAATTGAAACCTATAAAGCTTAATGGTAGGGGTTTTTTTTGTGTGTTTTTTAGTTTAGTTTTGACCCAGAAAGATGAACAAAACCTGTAAGTAGAATGTTCCAGATTCAAAAAGTTATGTCTCAATTGTATTATTGGACATTTTCCTCTCCAAGATTATAAGCATCTAGAAAATGTGAATAATTTTTGTGTTTGTCAACCTTATTAAAAAATCAACTCTTCCTTGCCTTTTAAAAATAACAGGGAAAGGATTTGCAGGAAAACATGGCATCACTATTGAATGTCATCACTGTTGATTCTGACTTGCCCCTGTGCTGTGTTTCAGCTGTATAACATGCTTGTGGAAACAGGGGAGCTGGAGAACACGTACATTATTTACACTGCTGACCACGGTTATCATATTGGACAGTTTGGACTGGTCAAGGGGAAATCCATGCCATATGACTTTGATATCCGTGTGCCTTTCTTTATCCGTGGTCCAAGTGTGGAACCAGGATCAATGTACGTATTTCTCCACTTGCAACATTTCAGCTGTTGGAGTTCACATATAACTAAAATAATTTGATTACTAATCCCAGTGTCTAGTTTCCTTTTCATCTAAAATAAAAAAGAGTGTATGTAGGTTGGTAATTTAGAAGATGAAAGTCTTTCCCCTCTTGTCATATGTTAAATTAACTGAAGTGTACGATTTAAAAAAAAGGAAAGCTAACTTTATCAATGATGAATTTTCTCAAATTGATCAGAATGCATGTCTGTTTGGCCTGTGTACAGAGATATAGAATGTGATTTTTAGAAACACAATCTTAAGTTCTTTGAACCAGAGCCATCTTGTTGTTTTTTTAAAAAATAACCAATACCATTCTCTTAGCCTTTTGTTTTCTCAGTTATTACTAAAGAAAATTAAGATATTATGATTTTCTGTTTTATTGTGATAATATATATATAACAGAACAACTTCCAATTCAATGATTTTTGCTTATACACTCCAGTGAGCATGATTTTCTTTTAAAAGAAAAGAGGCCTAAAGGACTGAAGTTGTATTTCTGTCACCCAGCTTTTGACCTTAGGCAAGTCACTGAATCCCTTTGTGTCTCTGTTTTCCCATTATAAGATAGGTTATGTATGTCCTGCCAATCACATCAGAATCTGTTGAATAAAATGAGATCATATACATGAAAGGATTATGAAAAGGGTAAAAGTGGAAATAGACTACAGAAGCTGAAATGACCCTTAAAGAGCATCTAACCTGGACTCTCCTGATTTAACAACGAAGAAGGTTGCTAGAGAGTTTAAGTGCCTCATTCAGAGTCTCCCACCCTAGAAGTGGGAGGTTTGGGCTCCAAAGTTCAGATATTCTCAATCTCCTCCATAGACCTCTTCTGCTGCTCAGCTACACTGCATCCAGGGAAAAGGGTGATACAGTAAGAAGGGTTTCTTCTAAGAATGTTATCATAACTTCTAAGATCATTAGAAACACCCTGGAAATTGTCAGATCTATAGTTAGAAGGCTTTATGTTTGAAGGATTAGGTAACTTGGGTTAGATTCAATTATAAAAACCTTCTATCCTTTTTTTAGAATATTGATTTTTTTTAAGCCATAGTTCAACAGATAAGTTATGGACTGCAGGGTTTTAGAAGAAAGTGTACATCTGACAAAAAATGTTTATTAGACCACGTCTGGTCTGGCAGTACAGCCAGGGTGTGAGGCTACAGACTGTGTTCTCATAGAGTCCATCAGTCTTTTTGTGTGCAGTTGCTGCACACTGATCCTGGCAAGTGCATCCACCCATCCCTGGAGAGACCAGGTGAGAGAATAAGAAGAGCTGAAGGCAGATGAGTCAGTGCTGTAGAAAAATAAATCCTAAATGCCACCCTCCACTGGTGTTGGGTCTGGAGCGTAACCATTTGTCCATTTGCAGAGTCCCACAGGTTGTTCTGAACATCGACCTGGCCCCTACTATCCTGGATATTGCTGGGCTTGACACACCTCCTGACGTGGACGGCAAGTCTGTCCTCAAACTCCTGGACCTGGAAAAGCCAGGTAACAGGTGCGTCAATATCCTTCCTCAGCCAGGCACTTGGAGCCAGCCAACAGTTGAGAAAAGTGAAGGCAAATATACTTTGCCCATAAGGATCACCCCAGCCGGAAATGTCTAGGCTGTTTATGAATAGCACATTGATGAAGACGCAGTACTGATCCACGGGAAGTGAGAGGTGTTTCTTTAAATAAACTGTTAGCACAGATCCATTTGGAAAACCATCCAGATGCCTACAATAAATATTGTTATTTTGCTTTCAGGTTTCGAACAAACAAGAAGGCCAAAATTTGGCGTGACACATTCCTAGTGGAAAGAGGGTAATTATTGGTTCCTTGGGTGCTTCTGAGAACCAGTTCTAGTGGGCAGTTCTCTCTGCTGGGTGTTTTTTTCCCTCTCTTATTTTGGTTTACTAAGATTTTGTAAATCTAGTCGCAAGATTCAATGATGTGCTATTCATTCTCTGCTGGCCTACAGAGTAATTATTGTTGCATCAGAATTGTAAAGAATAAATTCTCCAAATATGGGGCCAAAACATCTATGATGTGGATTTGCTGTTGCATTTCTCAGCTTTGTTTCCTAATAGAACCAGTGGATTGATTTTCTCAAGCATCCTTCTCAAGTCCCTCGCTCAGAAGCCTCCAAGGCTTGCCTGCCACCCTCGTTTCTACTTCTTTTCCTTATTTACTTTTATGGTTTTAAGTTATATATGGTTGTAATTATTTCTTAGCCACTTCTGGGTTCCCCTTTTTGATTCATAATGCTTCTTGACTTGTTCTTTTTGTACTTAAATTTATAGAGAGAAAGCATTTATATAATTTTTTTAAAAAAAGGACATTGCTCATGAGCCTGTAAAACTAAACATTTTCAAACTAAAAAGTTTGAAATTAATGCTTTGTGGGAGAAATGATTCTTCCTATCCTAACCTCTCATCTTGATAGGAGCCAGCTTATAATTTTCACAATGGACTCATCAAAGTTTGAACTCCTTTGAACAGAGTATTAACAACTATTTCTTGCCGTTTGAAGGCTACCACATTTGGAGTCATGTGGCAGGGGAGAAAAAGAGAATAGGCGGGGAAGGTAATTTGGGTCACTTCTCAAGTAAGAAGTTTTTCTTTTTCTGTCAAAGCAAATTCCTACGTAAAAAAGAAGAATCCAGTAAGAATATCCAACAATCAAACCACTTGCCCAAATATGAGAGAGTCAAGGAACTCTGCCAACAGGCAAGGTACCAGACTGCCTGTGAGCAACCTGGACAGGTGAGTGATGCAGTTCTTCTTCACCACAATGCACATGCTTCTCCACTTCTAATTTTAAAGACTTTCAACATGTAAATCAATGTACATTTGAATGAAAGCAAGCTTCTCACATTTGCCATAAGGGCAAACTCAATGTAGCATCTCACAGCTGACTGTTTTGCAGGGGTTGTCTAACTGGTCCAAGGAGGGCCTCCTGCTGATTGCTTAGGCTTCCTCCAGTGAAAAGAGATGATGTTCTCAGAAGAAGTTCTGTTAGAAAGATCAGAGACTGGTTCCATCTGAAGAAATGATATCATTCCTGGGGGTCATGTTACCTAACAATCAAGAAGTAGTTGGAAAACAACTTGGTCAAGACCATTGGTAGATGCTGAGTTTTTGTTTAGACCACCACAAGGGAGATGACTAAGTTATCTTACCTTAGGTCAAAGTTAGATGTCATCTAACACAGTATGGTGAACAGAACCTATGACCAAGGTTGGGGAATGAAACGGAAAACTATATTCTGCTTGTTCATGGTTTCTACCTCTGGTCAAAATGTTTCTAACATCAAGTAATTGATTAGAATGAATGCTCTTCGTTAATAGGAATATTACCATACAGACAGGGCTACCCATACACAAACTATTATCAATAAGAACTAAAGAAATGATGAATTAACACAGTCCTATTTCTAAGTAAGTATATATGAACACAAACCATTTTTTAACACACTAAAAGGAAAGGCTATGTCATGATGAAAAAAGAACTAAATTTCTGCCTAAATAATTGCAAATTAAAACAAAATTGGGGGAAGTGACAAGAACTAATAATATTTATTGAGCATTTGTGTTATATAAGGCACTATACCAAAGCAAACCAAACCCACTGCCATCAAGTCAATTCTGACTCCTCGTGGCCCCTGTTGTGTGTCCAAGGCTATAAATCTTTATGCAAACAGACTGGCTTGTCTTTGGCAGAGAGGCTGGTGAGTTTGAACAGCTGACCTTTTGTTTAGCAGCCCAATGCCTTTACCACAGCATCACCAGAGCTCCTTATAAGGCACTGTACATGGATTTTTATATGTATTATCTCAATTTAATAAGGAGCTTTGGAGGCATACTGGTTAACAAATTTGGCTGCTAACCAGTGGGTTGGTGGTTCAAACTCACCAGCTACTCCGTGGAAGAAAGATGGGGCAATCTGCTTCCATAAAGATTTACAGCCATGGAAAGCCTTCATGACAGTTCTTCCTACTCCTATAGGGTTGCTGTGAGTTGCAATCAACTCGATGGTGGCAGTGGGTTTTTGTTGTTATTGTGGTTATCTCATTTTAATCATCCTACCTGTTGAGTGAGGTAGGCATTATCATTCTCATTTTGCAGATGAGAAACTGGTAAGTGGCAGAGCTAGGATCAAACAAGAGTTTGATTCAAAAACTCAGGAAACTTGCCACTTCCCAACATTGTGGTTGTTGTTAGTTGCCATTGAGTCAGACCCCCAACTCCTGGCACTTCCATGCACAGGGGAGCAAAATGCTGCCTGGTCCTGTTCATCACCAGGATCATTTGCAGGTGGGACCATTGTGATCCATAGGGTTTTCATTGGTTGGTTTTTGGGCGAAAATAGGCAGGCCTTTCTTCCTAGTCTCAGTCTGGAAACTCTGCTGAAATCTATTCAGCATCATAGCAACATGCAAGCCTCCACCAGAAGGCAGGTAGTGGTTGCATAAAAGGTTCATTGGCCAGAAATTGGACCCAGGTCTCCTCCATAGAAGGTGAGAATTTTGCCTCTCAACTACCCTACCCCACTACCTTCCAAGATAAGTGACATTAACTAGATCAAGAGAAGTTTAGCTCTTTTGTGAGTCTTTTTAAACTTGTCTGGCCTCTAGACATCTACACAGCCAGCAGTTCAAGATATCAAGCACATGCAATGGGCAGCCTGGTGAACATGAGCTCATTCATTATACATCTGTTATGTGTATAGCTTATTGAATCTAGCTTATTGAATAGGCATTAGTAATAAACATGACTTTATATTCTCTGTATTTCCTCATGCCTTTTGTATACAGAGATATTTTTGAAACAGAAGGGAGTGGGGAGGGAGGATTGTTGAAAGAAAGGATAAAACTAGGCCTTATAGTATTCTAAAAAGTCTTAATTTTCAAGTGTTTAGTGGAGAAGCTTACACCTATTCATTATATTCTAATTTAAAGTCTTCAAATCCTGTTTATGGAAGCTCTAAGTATTATTATGAATTTAACTTCAGAATTGTTTTGTAGCTTTGAAATGATTTTTATGAGCCAGCCACAATAGGCTAATTTACTTTTTATTCAGGAGTTGGAAATGCTCAATGTTAAACATATCTCATGCAAATTGGTGATCTTGTTACTATTTTAGCCCTCTAAGTGGTGAGCATTATAACCATTTGGGAATAAGGTACATTGCCTACCTTTCAGTATACAATTTTGCAAAACCTCCCCATATGGCTTAGGCTGAAATTTTAATGTATGTCCTAAAGGGCAAATGTAATGTAAACCAGATTATGGCACTTTGGTGCAAGCCTTTTGCTTATGTGCTGAACAATAACTACGTTAAAAACTCTATTTTGCTTTTTCAAATTTGTTTAAACTTGTTTTGCCCCCATGAAATGCTTTAATATGTTGCTCCCTGGAATTTCCTCTGTTGCTTTATTTCTTTGCAAATCAAACTGAATTTAGATTCTGTCATATGGATATGTAAGAATTTTGGCAATAATCTCTTTCAGAAGTGTCTAAATTCATGGAACAGAGGTTGAAATGATAGTCCTGATGATAGCTTCTTGCTAAAGGATTTCCTTAAATTGAGGAGAAATGAGCTCTAGGGAATCAATAGTGTCCTAGAGAGATGAAGACCCAGAGAATCTCACATTTCCTCACACTTGTTGTTAGTTGCCACTAAGTTGATTTTAACTCCCATGCTACAGAGTAGAACTGTTTCCACAAGGCTTTCTTGCCTGTAACCTGTATGGAAACAGATCACCAGACTTTTTCTTCCACTACCACTGGGTGGGTTCCAACTGCCAACCTTTAGGTTAGAAGTCAAATACAAACATTTTGTGCTACCTAGGGACCTTGTCTCAAGCTTAGGTGAACACATGACATGAGTGAAATGTTATTTTCAGAGTGTGACAGCTAGACCAGCAATATCAGCATCACCTGGGAGCTTGCCAGACTCTGCAGCCACCCCAGACCTACTGAATCAGCCTCTGGGGTAGGTCTCAGCACTCTGTTCTAACAAGTCCTCCAGGTGATCCTGATACTTGGATAAGTATGAGAGATAACAATTCTAACTTATACCTATGCTTTAAAAAAAAAAAAAAAAGGAACCCAGTTGCCAGGGACTTGATTCCAACTCATGTGTTGCAGAGTAGAACTGAGTTCCATTCAGTTATCATGCTTCTTATGGATGCATATCATCATTCCTTTCTTTTGTGGTGCATCTGTGTTGGTTCAAACTACCAGACTTTTAGTTAGTACCTATGGTGGTTAATGTTGTATGTCAGCTTGGCTGGGCCATAGTTTTGAGTGGCTTGACTGCTGGTTGTAGTTATTCCCCATGATGAGATTTAATCACCTCCATGGTGGAATTTGCTGTGAGCAGCTAAGTAATTGAAAGAGTGTGGCCAGCTTCCAGTATATAAGAAGAATGGGAAACCATTTGGGAATGGTTTCTAGCTTTTTGGCACATTTGGATTCTGCATTTTCTGAGTCTTCATCTCCAGTCCCTGGCCTTGAATTAGTGGCCTCCTATGTTGTCTGCCAGCCTTGGGATTGTTCCTGAACTTTAACCTGTTAGCTTGCTGTGTTGCCTGCTGATTTTGAGATTGTCCCATTTTTCCCACCAACCTTGGATCCATTAGCCTCAGCAGCCAGCAGTTGCATGAGCTAGGAGACAACTCTAACACCAGTGGGCTTGGAACAAGAGGCAGAGCTAAAGCACGAGGTCGAGGGGCCTTCACCCAGTCCCTAGAGCCAGCACTCTGAATTCAGACTTCTAGCCTCCTAAACTGTAAAAGAATAAATCCCTGTTTGTTAAAGGCATTCACTTGTGGTATTTCTGTTATAGCAGTACTAGAGAACCAAAACAGTAGCCTAGTGCTTAACCGTTCACACACCCAGAGACTTCTACAGCTGTGCTTTCTAGAGCTCTATCCATAGCTTAAGAAGCTAATAAATTCAAGAACAGTTTGAGGCTCTCCAAGGCCATTGTAAAATATCTGTGACTGATCTGATAGTTCTGTTCTATTTTGTAGACTATTTATATTTTGGCCCTTTGATCTTTGTATTTGGATACTTTGAAGGTTCCCTTCTTCATTATGATATCACTGACTTTTTAAAAAGAATAAAAAGTCCAGAATAATGAGCTTATATTACCCAGGATCATGGTGACAGTTAAGGCTAGAACTGACTTGCTTGGAAACTGTTCTTTTGGCATTGGTTTCACAGCTAGCCTGTATCCTATTTCGCTGCATCTTACCAACTTAGCTAACTTCAAAAGACAATAGAGTCCTCTCTTTGGTTTGATTCTTTATGTCACATAGAGGGGAAAAATCAGCCCTCTTAGTTCCATTTTCTTCATTCCTGATCCCCGAACAAATAGTGTATCCCCCACTCCCTTCTTGTGCCTGGCCACCTAAGGATTGTTTGGTAGAATCAATTTGGATGCATGAAAAAATAAAAAAATGAGGTCAGAAGGTTTGGGTTAGAACATGAGTATCCACCACTTAATAATTGTGTGTTCTTGGACAAGACAATTTTTCCTGAGTTTCAAGTTTTGTTTTTTTTTTTTTTTTTTATCTCTAAAATGGGAGAATTCATTTCAGTCTTGTGAAATGATGTTATATGTGTAAAGTACTAGGTAAATTGTACAGCAATGTGCAAATGTTGAGTATTAGTATTGTTCCATGCCATCTTACCTATTGTTTTCATTCCTGTAATGCCAACAAGGAATTAAAATGGGCTAGAATCCCAGACACTTGGC